TCCCCAGCCCCCGACCCTGGTCAAATGGCCAAATCTCACAGTTGGCAGGGACCTTGGAGGTTATTTACTTCACCCTTGCCCACCCTCTGCGGACTTCCAGAAGGAGCAGGGGAAGGCTTTCTAGAGGAGGGACCGCATTTGGGCAAGTCCAGAGGGAGGGCACCGAGAGCAGGTCTGGAGACAGAAGGGAGTAGGGGGACGATGGCAGGGGCGTGAAGATGACAGCATGAATGGGGGAGGGGGTGCTGGGAGAGGTGGGGTGGGAAACAGGAAGCTGAAGCCAACGCAGGGAGATGGAGAGTAAACCTTTGCTCCTCTCCTCTCTCTCTCTCTGTCTGTCTCCCATCTGGCTCTGCTGGGGCAGAAGGTCTTCTCTCCAGTGTCCCTTGGGGAGCCTGTGAGGAGATGGGCAGGCCAGTGTAGTTAGACCTGGACAAAGAAAGGCCTATCTATCCCACAGCTTTGCCTCGATGCCCATCTGCCCCCTCCTTGCCTGATATGATGCAGGTGGTATCTGAAACCCAGGCACCATGCCCAGCAGGCACCAGGCTGACCTCCTGTGAGGGAGCAGATAAGAGCAACCCTCGGCATCCCCCCTGTGCTCTGTCTTCAAGCTGTCCACGCAGGAGTACCTGGATGGGGGCAGTGCAAGAATCAGGCCAAGAAGCAGCTCCTTAAAAGAGGTTATGTGAGCAGAGGCCTGGTAAACTCCTATCACCCCGCCTGGAGGTGTCCAGAGATGCCAAATACAGCTTCAGGACGAGACCCCTTCTAGTCTGCCTGATTGCATCTCCCTGCTGAGAAGGAGGAAGGAATTATAAGGTCTTTCCTAAAGAAAAGGGAAGATCCTATGGAATCAGAAAAGGGAGAGGGAGGTTGGTGAACCCTCCGCCAAAGAATACAAGCCAAGTGCAAGAGCAGGTGCTGAGTTACTATCTCAGAGAGCATGAGTTAGCACCCAAGCACTCTGCACCTCCCTTATGTTGTTAGTCTGGGCGGGGGTGGGGGGGCTGTCTGTTTCTTGGAGGTGGCGGCAGTCAATTTGCAAACTTCAAAGGGCCTGTGGTCTTGTCTCTGGGTGGGGGTGGGGGTGGTAAGGAGATTGCACCCTACTCTCTAACCAGGCTTGGGGAGAGACAGAATCCTAGGGGATCCTAAGAACTTGCAGGCTCCCTACTCAGCAACACAGATTCAATGATGGACCCCAAACTTGACTCACTACAGTAAAGAACCAGAATCAGGCAGTTTAGAAAGAAAGGAGAAGGGTAAGGAAAAAAGAGTGTTTTTTTTTTTTTTTTTTGCCTAACCCTCAGGTACCCAGAACATTCTATTAACCAGAAAAGCCCTTCCCCAAGCATTCATGTTTTGGGATTTTGGCAGTTCAGTGTATTTGTATTTTTTCAGTGATTAAAATTCAGGGACTCTATTGCAGAACAATGCAAGCTCTGCTCCTATCTCCCTTTTTGTAAGGGGAATAGCGGAGTCCCTTGCTTGAGTCACAGGCTCCTTCCTCCAGTTTTTAGATACATTCATTCATGCATGTATTATTCATAGATGCAACAAAAATTTACCAAGTACCTCCTATGTGCCCGGGCATGGTGCTGGGTACTGGAGACATGAAGAGAAAATAGGCCCAGTCTCTCCCTTCAGGGAGGCTGCAGTCTGTCTGGCGGGGGGGGGGGGGGGGGGGGGGCGGGGAGGGGAGGACAGGTATGTCAACAACATAAAACCATGTGTCACCTGGAACCACAAGGGGCAGCAGAGGATGCTACGAAAGCCCAGAGGAGGGCCCATTGCCTACCACCCCCATGACTTCCAGCAGACACCCACCCCCAAACTAAGCTGAGTGGTGAAGGTGAACAGGAGGAGTCCAGCAGATGGTCAAGGCAGAGAAGGACATTCCAGGAAAGGAATGTCAAATGTGACAGCAAACGAATACTAAGGACGATTCAGGAAAGAGGGAAACCTCTAGGTATTTAAGCCACCTCGATGAAAAGAAATCAGAGAACCAATTCAGGCACAACTGAAGGGAGTTTTCAATTTCTGGTTTCGGGAATGAGGGCAGAGGACTTATGTGACCCACTGGTCCCTTTCTTTTTTCTTTTTTTTTTTAAGATTTTATTTATTTATTTCTTTGAGACAGAGAGAATGAGAGAGAGAGAGCACATGAGAGGAGGGAGGGTCAGAGGCAGAAGCAGGCTCCCTGCCGAGCAGGGAGCCCGATGCGGGACTTGATCCAGGGACTCCAGGATCATGACCTGAGCCGAAGGCAGTCGCTTAACCAACTGAGCCACCCAGGCGCCCCGCACTGGTCCCTTTCATGCAGTCTTGTGAGTTGATGCGCTGCGCTCGGAGGAGGCCACATTGGCAACCGGGGCCACAGCCCAACACTCGGGTTACCAGCCACACATCCTACGTACTACCCAAAAGCTACACATGGGAGGCCCCCTTCTCACATCACAGAAGGAAGAAGGAAGGTTAGACCTCCAACAGATGCCCTGGGAAGCACCCACGGGGATGGAGACCAAAGTCACAAAGTCCCACACTTTATTATGCCCACATTGAAGAGGGCCCACGGAAGCCAGCTTTATCTAATGGGCAGGGGCCAATGGTGGGGAGCTAGCTACCAGCAGCCCCCCTGCAGGACCACATGTGACCAGGAAGAGCCCCTCCCTTTGGGACCTGGCCACATTTTGTTCAGCCCACGGGGACCACCCTGAGGGAAGGAGGGATGACTATCAACAGGCACTGGGCAATTCTACTAGGCAAGTACCGGAAGTCTTTCCTGCTACTGAAATCCTGGCCAAGAAACAAGCCCCATCTCCCTCCCCAGGAGGTGGGAAGATGGCTTTGCTCAGCACTGCAAGTAAGGCTCCTAAAAACTTCGGAAAATAATTCCTAACAGAGGTACTCGGATAGAGCCATAATGTTGGATTAACAATTCCAAGCCAGCAGACCAGACACTTGTCTAATTAATAAAACTTATAAAGCAGAACAACTTATTGATGTTACAGGCACGACACTTAGTACAACAACAAAGCCCAAATCCGTGCAGAATGCCTCATGTTCTTTAGGAAACCCTTTCTTCTACTACCTGTACAATCCCTTCTTTCATGCCAATGGGGGCTGAGGAAAAGAGGGAACAGCACAGAGCTCCAGGCAACTGGCTGGGGAGGGAGGGCAGAGAGCTCAAGGGGCCCAGCTGGGGTAGAGGTGATGGGGGCATTTCTGCCTCTGACACACATCTGCCAAAGGTTAGCTCCCATCTGGACTCTGGAGGTAGTGGATCCGGGCTGGAATCCCAACTCTGTGGCAAGTTACTCAACCTCCTGAGTCTCAGTTCCCTCGTCTATAAAATGGGGTTCCTACTAGTACCTACTTCAACGTGCGTCCATAAAGATTAAATATACAAAGTGAGTGCTCAGTCCATGATGGCTATTAGCAATGGTTATTACCGTTGTTCGATGTAGGCACCTACCAACAGGATCTGCTGTCCCGTTGCAGCCCACTGGGTCTGTCTTTCTCCACAGATTGTAATGAGGGTGGTTCAAATCTCTTTGGACCTTGGACTCTGACTTCAGATCTACAGAAGAACTTAGCTTTTCTGTGGGGGAAAGCGAATCATTTTCCTACTTTGGCAAAGCCCAAAAGAACATTTATAGCGGTTAACAGTGGGAGTGCTGAAGTAAGACGGGGTGGAAATCCCGGCTCTGCTTCTCACCAGCGGCGGGACCCAGGACTTGTCCACCTTTCAATTTCCATCACTTCCATTTCCTCATCTGTAAAATGGGGATAATACGAGGATCTACCTCCCCCCCCGGGGGGGGGCAGTGTGAAGATTAAATATAATGCATGTCAAGCACTTTCAACTGTGCCAGGCACACAGAAAGCTCTGAGTGAGTGCCAGCTACTGTTATTGTACACGGATTCTTAGGGCTACCTAAAGAGCTTGTTAGCACAACGCTGGGCACAAAAGCCATCAGTACCTACTGTGATCATCAGTACTCTCTGAAGATGAGTGAATTGGGGGCAGAGGAACGAAGAGAGATCTGGGTCTTCTCTGAGCGGGGGACTAAGTGACTGAGGATAAACTCACCTTTGTGATCTCAGCCGACCCCCCCGCCTTTGTATATCGAACACAGCTCAAGAAAAGAAAGTGACAGGTATGCGCCTGCATATCCCGATTTGCTAAGGTTTCTACAAGTAACGCACCACCTCATTTGGTGGTCTTGTTTCTCAGCCTCATGATGCTGCGTGAGCGCTGAGAGCACTCGAGGGAGGGCAGGCCAGCCAGGGCGCCAGGGCCCTGGGGAAGCCGGGGTCCTGGGGACAGAGCGCCTGGAAGTCCAGGCGCTGCCGCCAACACGGGGGGGGGGGGGCTCCTCGCCCGGGGGTAGATGCGAGGGTGGTGGGCAAGATAGCCTGGGGCGGGGGGAGCCCCGCGTGGGGAACAGCGGGGGGGGCGAGGCCCGAGCCCCAGGAGGGGTCGCCCTTGCCCCCCTCGCCGGGGGCTGCCCTCCCGGCTTCCCGCTTTCCTCGCTCCTGCCCTCCCTCCTCGCTACCCCCCTCCGGCGGAAAACTTCCCGCTCACGCCGCCACTTGTCCACGGGCGTCCACATCCTCAGCCCCGCGCAGACTGTCTTCCAGTCTCCTCGCGGGCGGTGCGGCCAAGGGGCCCCGCGGGCAGCCCGACGCCCGGAACGGCTCCCTGGGGGCTCGGGGCTCCGGGCGGGGTGGAGGGAGGTGGGCTCCCGACGTGCCAGCTCCGGCCATCGACTGCGGGCGCCCAGAGGCCGCGCGCCCGCGACCGGGGGCCTGTGCCCGCGCCGCCGGGAGTCACTCCGAGGGGCCCGGCGGGGACCCGAGCGCCCGGCTGCTGGCCGCCAACCCCCTTCCCCCGGCCCCTCCCCTCCAGCCCCCAGCCTCCGCGGCCCGGTGCCCCGCTTTCTGGCCCCTTCCCAGGCGAGCCCTACCCCGGCTGCTCGGAGCGCCGTACTTACTGTCGGGGCCCTCTCCGGGCCGGGGCTGGGCGGCTGCCCGGCCCCGGGAGCCCTGCCGCCGTCTTCCCCTCGCGCTGCCCCCGGCTGTGCCCCGCGCCGACCGTAGCGGCAGCGGCGTCTGTAGGAAGAGAAAGATCACGCCTGCCTTAGAAACCCAGCCCCGGCTGTGAGCAGAATCTTAAAGAAGGAGGCGACTGGCTCGGCCCCAGAGCCGCGGCTTAGGTGGCGAACCAGCGAGGCCGCTGGTAAACACGGCGTCTGCTGCCTCTCGGCCGCCCGCAATCCGCCGCGGAGGAGCCCCCCCACCTCCCTCTGGCCGGGGGGCCCCGCGGGGGAGCCGGGGAGGGGCCGTGCGGATAATCCAGCTGCCGCCGGGGCCGGGCCCCGTGCCCTACATCCATATTCCCACCCGGGCATCCTCCCCAGCTCACAGAAATTAAAACCGACGTCCAGGGGAGCGAAGCAAATAACTCCAGATACACGGGCTAGTAATAAGTCGGGGGTGGGGGGCAACATTCGAAATCGGAGGGATCTCAGATTCGCTGCCGCCTGCCTCAAAAGCCACTCTGTGCTACCGCAAAGCAACATCGGAATACCCGCGTCTCCACTTCCCGCTTCCCCCTTTCTGCGACAGGACTAGGGACAAGTGGCAACTCCAGGCCGGTTTGCTGGGGAGGGCGGAGGCGGGGACCCTGGGAGGCAGGATACTTACTGTCTGCAGTGCCTAGTGCCCGGGAGTGGCCATCCCTCTTTACCCCAGACAAGTCACCTACTGTGTGCCAGGCCTCGTGGGACACAGGAGAAGGTAGAGGAGGTAGTCTTGGTCCAGGTGCCATACGGGAGAGAGGCACCGAGCCTGTGAGGTCTGGGTTATGCTAGAAGGATCAAAGGTGGGGGGTGCAGAGGCCCTAAGGGAGCCAGCAGCCAGTGTTCTCAGGGAGCCTCTGGCAGGGGAGGGGTGGAGAAGAGCCTCGCAGGGACAGGGTGCTGAGGGTGCTCTTCCTATAGGGCTGATTGTGACTCCTTCCTGGTCGTGGAGTGAGGGCCCACACCACTCATTCCTCTTTCAAGTGTGAGTAGAAAGCAGCCGGTGGGGAGATTAAGCCTTGTGGCTTCCCTAAGGGAGGTACCTTTGTCTTCCTGCCTTGACAATGACATCTGTGAAATGGGACGATCTCTTACTCCTTCCTTTCTGGCCAAAACGATGAGACAACACAGTATTCCCGTCCTTCCGTTCTGATCACAAAAAGGAGCAGTTTGTATTCCTCCCTGCCCCGTTCCTGCTTATCCACCCAGTCATTCATTTAGCAAATTTTTATTAGCATCTATCGTGTGCCAGGCGCCATGCCAGGTGCTGGGCACCTCCACGATTCTGTGGGGGCGTCCGCACCCATGGGAGGTGGGACGCACACAGGGCTGGAAGTTAGGAAACAGATTTTAAGTCGGAGTTCTTTGACTAAACAGCTGTGTGACCCTGGATGAGTCATGCATCCTTTTGAGACCTCAGCTTTCTTGTTGGTCAAACAGGAGTAATGACACCTTCCTGTCCTCATTCACTGGGGTGTTTGTGAGGCTCAATGGACATAATGGATGTGAAGGAGCTTTGAAAAGTATAAAGCCACTAGACAAATGTCAGGGATTAGTCCCTCTCCGAGGTGGGAGCGAGGCTGCTGGGAAGTAAAGCTTAAAAGAATTCCTGGCTGACTCTCCCAAATTGATTGCCCTGAATTCCATCTTCCCCGAAGCACCGATCCTGCACCTGGGCAGGAGGCTCTGCTCTGTGAAATATCGTCCTCCCTCAGCAGTGCCCCTGACACTCGGGTTAGTGATGGCCTGGCCTTAAGCCAGGGAGATTGTTTGAGGGACTTGAGTGGACCCAGGGGACAGTCTTGGCTCTGGGTCTCTAATTCCTGGCTACAGCAGCGTCCTCCCCCCACCGGAGCCCACGCAGCCCAGGACCACACGTGTCTGGGTAGAAACCGCTTTGAGGCCTCCAGAGACACCCCTTTAGGAAGCAAGGGGCTTATGCCAGACACCCGAAGGTGGCCTTGAGGGTGGATGCTCTCTTTGCGGGGAAGCTAGGGGTTCTGGGTTGGCCTGGCTGGCTGCGATCTACAACAGAACGAGTGGAGCCTCTGGGAGGGTCTTCAGCTGGCTCAGCTCACCCCAGCAAGTCACCCCAACCTAAATAGACCTCCAATCTAAATTACAATACCGTGCTTGCTAAGCAAGCTAAATCGCCGAAGTTCCCCCAAGCACTCTCCCCGACCCCCTGCTACCCCAAGTAAACACAGACTCTAAGGAAACACCAGGCAAACCCTTTCCAGACGGATCCTATAGCTTCTTTCCTCCCTCTCCCGCTTCCCACCAGACCATCACCCTGAAGCCCGTTCCCTAAGAAAGTGCTAGAACTGATGAGGAACAAGAAGGGGCTCAGGAGCCTGGGCTCCATGGCCAGCCAAGCCCGGAGCTGCTCTGCCGGGCTCTGGAGCCAAACAAGAATGGAAGTCAGAGGCGGCAACAGAAAGGAGCCCAGCTTTGGGCCAGGGTGCCTCCCCCCAGCAGGTCCCTGGGGGGAGGCCCCCGAACAGGACGACTCCACACACTCAGCCTCCCTTGGCAGTCTTGGAGCCCATTCCTCTTGCCGCTGAGGCTCCTCTCCACGTCTTCATAGATTCCCTTGTCACATCCATCTCACCCAGGCTGCTCCTCTTAATAAAGTGCCCCTGCGGCCACTCCAGACAGCCTGATGTTATCCTTCACTCTCCTGCCCTTCTCCCCTGTGTGGGCCACACAGCCGTGATTCAGGTCTCCTGGGTCACAGTACCCTCTCCTGGAGAAATGCTTCCTGAGCACCCGAGCCAGGGTGTGATGGAAGCTTTGGGTGTGGGCATACCGAACACTCCTTCTTTGTCCTCCCCGCCTCCACACCCCGTAGGGTGGCCTGGGCCCTGGATTCAGATCCTTACTCTGAGTCCCCATGCCTACCTCAGCCCGAATCTTCTTCCCTGGGCCGGCTGCCACTCCTCTCCTCCGGTGATATAATCCGAGTCCAATTTGCAAAGGCTCGCTCTTGGTGATTGCCAATAAATCCCACACCTATATCCCCCCGAAAGACCTGAAAGCTTCGAGATCCAAAGGAGAGACTCACCGACGGTGAAATTTCAGGCACTGTGACAGGCAGTTGAGGAGATATATTTGATCACATCATGTTTACCTATGGGTAAGGCTGGCCCTGAGGATATTCTGGCATTTTCCCTCAACTATAATGAAGACTTGGAATAGTAGCAAAGAAAGCAATAGAAAATACACCGGGCTGGGAGCAGGGACATCTTGCTGTTCATCCCTGCTCTGGAGCTAATTAGATGTATGGCCCTACACTTTCCCTTTCTAGATCTCGGTCTCTCCACATGTCAAAAGAGAGGTGATTTGTAGGGTCCCTTCCTATTCTTCTCAGGCTCAGATTCTAGGCTATATAGAACTGAAGTAGACTGATGTTTCCTCCAGCATGGGCCCTCATTCCAGAACACTGGGCATGGCACTGTGTGTGCGTGAGAGCTAGATGGTTGCCAAGGGTTGGCGCTATGGGCATGAGCCTGGCCCTGCTGTTCAACAATGCAGCCAGTGTCCGACCCACCTTTGCCAGGGAACAAAGGGAGAATTTGTTCATTGCTCCCGCCCCATCTTGCAGACAGGACCCTTCACATCCCCAGCAGTAGCTCTCTGCCTGTTAATCCCTGGTGCCCTCCGGGACTGATTCCAGCTGCCCCGGGTCAGGGCTGACCTTACCAGTGAACGCCTGTCCCACCATCACATGTCTTCACATTGTACATTCCTGACTTAGTGATCACTCAACACCCCCCGCCCCCACCACCTCCAGTGCCCTCTGACGGGTCCCCCCCCCTCCGCCTCCTTCTGATCCCGCAACCAAAAGGTTAATGCCAGTAGGGGCCCTCTGGAACACTGTTCTAGTTCTAAGGGGCAGTTCATCCCGCCTGGTCAGTGTCCATGCCACACGGGCAACACAATATTTTTAATATCACCCTACTCTAGGATTCCAGTCGCGTCCAATGTCCCTCCCCCTTTCCTGGCCATTTCTCTGTGAAGATTTGTCAAGGGCTTCCTGAACGGAGGAATGCCTGGCTCCTTGCCTCTGAGTCAGGTGGGTCCTGGTTGTTTCAGAGAAGGCGGGAAAAGAAAGCAGCCGCAGGAAGTGGGGGGTCTGGCTCTGTAGTTACCAGCAGCTGCCCTGGTGACCCTCCGCCTTATGGTCGGGATCCAGTTGTCAGAGGATGAAGCCAAATGTGCTGAGGCTGGAGGGACCCTCCCTCCTACTAGTCCCTGAAGGGGGCACCGATTCCGTCCCCCCCTCCCCACGGTTACCTTCTGCTCTTCGCCAGAGCAAGCCTCCCTAGCACTGAAAACCCCCTCGCTTGGCCCCTGTCCCCCCTCCCCCTGCCATTCTTCCATCCCCCTGCCAAGGCCTGGCTGCTCCAATGGGCGCTTTGCCCCTGCGGTGCGAATGTTCTGTTCTCGCTGGGCCCTGTATTAATTTGCTCTCATTTGTGAGCTGCTTTGTTAACGCGCGTGGCCTTTTCTCCATGTGTAGTGCTGTTTCCCCGCTGCCTCTGTTACCTCCCCACCCACAGCCTCCTTAACCTTGTAATAACTGGCCCTCCCCTGTGGAGAGGGGGTGAGGCTTTTTCAAAGCCCTTTCTTGTCCGTGCTTTGGTAGTTCGGGACATCGTCCCCGCGGCTGAGGAAACAAACAGGGTGTTGATTACTGAACCCTGCGGGCCCGGAGAGAAATCTGGGGATCCCGGAGGTGAGAAGGCCAGTCTGTGTGGGCAGATACTGTGTGATGGCTGAGGAGGCCTAGAACCACAGCTCTTCCCCACAAGCTTACGCCATCGCTGCGGACACTGCCCTCTGAGGCCCCAACCAAGCGCCCAGAAAAGTGCACAGAGGCGCACGCACCCGTATCCAGTTTTGCTTAGGATTGTGTGAGGGGGCCACAGAATCTCTCAAGGCCAGCCCCCCCCCGCCCCGCTCCCCGCATCAGTCTTTTCTAGAAGCTGCCCCAGTGTTTCTCATATGCAGCTAGGGGTGGGGAGAGAA